CCCCAGGCTGGCTGGGGAATTCTGGGAGTTGAAGTCCACCCATCTTAAAGCTGCCAAGGTTGAGAGACACTGCTCCAAAGAGTTTTTAATATTGGCTGCAACTGCTTCATCCTAATCCTGTTCTTACTCAAAGGTGGTGTTCCCCAATACAGTGTTTTCCAAGCAGACTGGACTATAACTCCTATCATTCCCAGCCCCTAGGGTCATCTGGATGGAAGCGTGATGAGAAACACAGATTGACCCAGTTCAGGATTATGGCTACAGCAGCTGGGGATTCAGGGTGCGGGGGTCTTCCTGCATCCAGCCATCACGGCTTTTACCACCCACCCCATTTGGCTCCTGTCTCAGCCTTACCACTTTCTTCTATGTTTACGTTCGGTCGGCCTTCTTTGGAGACCTGGAAGCCTGGCCCGTTGCCATAAACAATAGAGGTGTATGACTTGCCATCCGCTGCCTTTTCAGGTGCCAACCCTGGAAGGAAGAAGTAGAACTTCTGAGCAACATTTTCCAATCTGTTGGCTTCTAGGTCTCTCGGACTACAGTGCCCACAATGGGGAATTGGCCTGCTGGCTAGTTTGAGTAGAGCAGGTGGCCCCTTTCTTTCAGCTTGGGGAGGGTAATCCAAAAATACATGTATTATCTGCCTCCTCCTGAATCACACCCTTAGTTCATTGAGCTCCAGGTTATCTCCAAGGGTAACCCATGAGAAGGTTGCTACAGGCAGAAGATGCTGGAGGGAAGGGACACCATGAGATGTAGGAGGACAGTTGTGGTATCTTCCTCTTCCAGATGACCTAGGCCAGCCCAGGCACTTTTGAACAGCTCCCTAGACCAGTGTTTCTCAACCTTGGCAACTTTAAGATGTGTGGACTGCATCTTGAAGTCCACACATCTTAAAGTTGCTAAGGTTGAGGGACACTGCCCCAGACTATTAGAGATTTTACCCAGTTCTGTTGTACAAGAGCCTTCATGGTTTGTACCCCTGTGTCCTGATCTTTCCTGACCCATAGATTCCCCAATAAGCTAGAGTGGCTGCAACTGCAGGTCTCATGACCTGCTTGATGGTCAACCATCCTCTTCAGATCCTCCTGTCCACAAGCCTACCCAACTCATACCACTGTGTGGATGAACCCCATGCTATACCATAAATGGAGGTCCCCCGGAGAGTGTAGCCTCCGAAGCTGAAGACGTGGGAGTGGTCAGCGGTCACAACAGTCAGAGTGTCATCTTCCTGAGTCAACTCCCCGGCTCGCTGGATGGCTTTATCAAACTCAATCGCCTCCGTCAGGGCTCGCTTAGCAATACCTTCGTGATGCCCTAAGTCAATCTTGCCTCGTGCAAAGAAAAGAACAACACAGACTATTCAACCAACAGATTCCACCACAGGAATCAGAAATGAACCCTCTTCACCCTGTTGGCTTGTCTTCCTCTCTACACACTCCCTACCTCCTCTGAATGGAAAGGCTGCATTCACACAGCATGTTTGAACTCATAACTGAATTCACCCATTTTCGGAGTGGCCACAAGACACGGACCTGTAAACTAATAGAAGCGACTGGGGGTAGGAGGGGCACCCAAAATGCTAAACCCCCAAAGCATTGTCCACAAGCTTATCTGCTTGTGTGAATCAATAGAAGCGAATCTGTGTAGCTCAGGGCTGAACTGTGGAGTCCTTGGGGTTCTCTGGGCTTGGTTGTTTTCTTGCAGATGTTTCATTACCTGGCTAGGTCACATCTTCAGTGCTGGAATGGGATGGGGTTTGCTCTCTCTTTATCCGCTATGGCCTGCCTTGCCAGTGCTGATGGGGGTGGGGGTTTGGTTTTATTTTTTCCCTTTGGTAGTTCCTTGATTAAGGTATTGTTTACTGCTTG